TAACAGTGTATTCGGCCAGGCCTTGTAACAAAGGCTGGGCCGAACCCATGTGGCTGATGTGTAGATCAATGTTTGGGTCCCACGCCTTACAAGGAAGCCCAACTGGGCAGCAATTTGGAAGGTTAAGTGAGTACATAAGCTTAATGGGCCTAAAGCCCATTTCGAACTGGGTTGTTTATTTAATTAATTATGGGGTGAATTCTGAGATAGATTAGCAAATAGGATAGGGTCTTAATCCTATCCACTTAGAGAGTCCAGATCTGAATGTGATTCAGATTTAGAAACCTCCTAATGAGATTAGGAGAAAACTAATCTAATCTGCAGATAAGATAAGGGTTTACCCTTATCAYTTRAAGGGAAKTCTGATCCAAATATGATTTGGATCAGCAACTCCTAATGGGATTAGGAGCTGATCCCTTTAAAGCTATAAAAGGAGGAAGGGGCGGCAGCCTTTAGAAGACACACATTCACATCCTCTTCAGAGCTGAAATCACAGAAGGAAGAATTCAGCAACCCTGCGAAATTCTTTCTTGCCGCCGCCTCACCTGCTAGTTCGATCTCCTGTTCAGTGGGAGAAATCAAAATTCGATCTTGATATCAATTCCTTGTGAAGGGACTGATAGAAAGTTGTGCTCACGTACCATCCTGCTAATTCTTACGAAGGATTAGGTTCTTGGAAAGAACACTGCTGATTCTGCTCCATCCTGCACTGCGCAATCTTTAGTGGGAGCAGTCTTTGGATCCTTCCTTGGGCGTAAACACCTTCATTGGGAGATATTATTTCTCCGTATCAAGTATATCCCTCTCCCTCTGCTTTTGTTCAGATCTGATTCAGTTCATGGTTCAAGATTGATCCTTGAAAAATATGATTTTTCTAAAATAGGGAATACGATTCCCAGTAGGATGGAGAGAAATTTTTGAAATTCGCCTATTCTATTCCGCAAGATTCGGGCATCCATACGGTGGATATCTCATCCCTTCATTTTGGGGAGACTTGCGATCTGCTGCCTTGTTGTTGAATGGAGTTAAACCAGAGGAGATTCCTAGGAAGATTACTCTTCAAGTTGAGGGATTGTCTTTACAGATGTGGTTAGTCTCCTCCATTGAAGCTTCTTTGTGGTTAGATCAGGAAGAAGATGAATCAGAGGAAGCACAACCTTTACTTGGCAGTCTAGGATTGGAGAATTGGAGGAAGATGGAAAGTTTCACTAAAATGAACAAGCACGAGTTCAACCATCCAAAAGATATGGGCAAAAAAGATGGTCAATTACGTGAGGTACAAGGTAAGGGTCAAACAGCCGAAAGGACCTTTGCTCAAGTGCTCGCGTCTGGCGCCAAAAATTCGAATGAGTTAAACCATTCGACCACAAAAGAAAAAATAGGGTTGACCAAGGAAGTTAAGCCGGCTTTTGAGAGGGTTGAAAGTCAACCCAAAGGGGATTGCTCTTTAAAAAATCACGTGACCAGGCTTTTGCTCGAGGTCGGGCCTAATGTGTCAATTGGACCTTCTCAT